GCTGCAATATAACAAAGAGTGAAAAATTGAAGGGGGTCTGAATACTTTCCGTACCCACTGTATATATATATATAGATATAGATATATAGATTGAATACTTAACAGAAAGGCTAAAATAAATTGATCCCATTCATTTCCTCCACAAGACCTCAGGTATTGTGTAGCATGTATGTGCTTGTGTATATATGTTTGTTCTTGTGTCGTTTGCACTGAGGGTTTCGGGGGCAGGCTGAGGTCCAGACCTTGTGAAGTGAAAGTTCACGCCAACAACAGCTAACCTGTGCAAGCAATCATTTAACTTTACTTGCTACTAGTTCTCTACTAGTTAGCTGTTCAGAGGTGCTTCTGCCCTGTTCTCAGAAACGCTGGATGGATGTAAACAGAAGGTCAGCCAGAACACATTGGTGTACTGTAAAGGATCTTTTTAGCTCTGATTATCTTAAGGGCTGGAGGTTACACAGACTGGTGTTAATAACAAAAGATAATTTTATGAGAAGTTTATAGCATTATTGTGACTTTCCACATTTATCTCCTTAAAATCCTGTGCAAGAGGTACATGATCAGAAAATGTCTTTGTTGTACAGAATGAAATCTAGGCAGACTTAAGAATTTCTTTGCTGTTTTCTTCCCATTTCCTTCCTAATGGCAATGTGAGCTAATCTTGCCTAGAGATGTGTATGATTTTGATATTCATGGTTTGAATATTATGTTATCATCTTTGTAAAATGCTGTGCAGTGAGATTTTTCAACAGTTTGCTATTATGTTCTCTGTTTAGCCCTATTGAACCTCTGATTAGTTAATTACTCCTTTTTTTTATTTTGTATGTGTGAGGGTTTATTTTTATTTTTATTTGGAGTAAATAAAAAGGTAATGGTGTATCAATACCGTGTTTCACTATCACATTATTTGTTTACATTCCCATTGTGATCAGGATGCGTTCTACTATAGAAGCACAAAGAGGCCATTGATCTATTGATCACCAGCCAGTCTCAGTGCTATTGTCTCATGCTCTGGAATATCTCTGAATACACCTATTGTTCTCACAACACAAAACTTAGTCATTTTTGTCACTCTGACCCAAATCCTAACCCTTACCCACCCCGATAGTGTCAGTTGTCATGGCAACATGTTGAAGAGGCCTTGTTGTAGTCAGACTGATGTTTCTTTGTTAAGCCGTTTTGTTTTTTGGCCCACATCTTCTCCCATCTCTTTACTCATTCATTTAAACTATTCTGAAAGAGAGAAAATGCTAAATTTCTGTAACGTATTTTAAGTACTTTGACAATTCATTTTCCTCAGTTCCTTCAAGTACCCACACTAGGGCCAGTACATCAGACATGTAGGCTTTTCAGGGCAGATGACTTCAAATCACAATTCGCTGCACACCAGTGTATGTTTAATCGCCCTTTATGCCTACATGTGATTTGTGCTGAGTGATTTTGATCATGTGCATTCTCTTACTGACAACCTCACGTAGTTCAGCTATTCTTGTGCTACAGCAGAATTGAGTCCTCGTGTGCCCCCCTGTCCAGTAATGAGCCATCCAGAAAGCCAATGTCTGCTGAAGCCTGACCTAGTGGTGTGGCCAAAGGGTTGTGAAAGAATAATTTTTTATAAATTATTGTATTTTTAAAAAATTGCATATACATAAGAATGTAAATCCTATGCTGATTCGGCATTTTATAAGAAGGAAAAAGAATGTTCAAGAAGAACTAAGGGCATGAGCATGTAGCATAAAGTTAGGAGTGCTGATCAACAGGAAAGGCTCAGCTCAGAAAATGTTAAAAACAAGAATTGTAAAGACAGACAAATGAAATAGAAAATGACATAAATTAGCTAATGAGAGACTTTGTGTCTTGTTTATGCAAGTAAGAATATAAACATTGTACATGTATGTTGAACGGTGGGATGGAAAGCTTTAATATTCAGCTTTCAACCACATATTGAAGAAAGATTATAGAGAAGGTTCTCTCATTGCGGGTTCATTCCTAAAAACAGAATAATGCTGGAATTCAACAGTTACAGAAATCACAATGCTAAACTATCAATATTATACTATAGCATAGCTCAGTTTCAGGGAGACTGTTCCTGCCATAATGTTCAGTACATTACTTGTGATTAATTAGCTCTTATAGTGATGAATTGTTATAGCGATATTATTTCTTCTTTTTTATTTCTTAAATTAAAATCAACACACAACACCTGATAATATATTACATTTAAATATTTTAGGACAGTAGAATGATATACAATTAAAAGCACAAAAGATTAATTGAAGAGCATTGTGGGCGTGTTTAAGAAAGTGTGAGTGGCTCAATCTCTTCAGTTTTCAGACTGGTTTGGATGTGTCTGTGGTTGGATTCCTTCTTCACACTGGGGTAAGACTACAGAAGGGTAACTGAGAGGTTATGGCATACTGCTTAGTATATTCTTCGCTTGTGAACCAGGCTGATTTAGATTGCATTTTTACAACTTTTAAAAAAACTATAAAGCATTAAACATGTTGACTTTTTCCAGAGACAGTTTTTTCTGAAGTCATGGTAGAAAATTATGATAAAATGTGTGCCATTTGATTTAAGGTAGTCTATTGGTTTCTGTTTTACAAATACTATAGATTCTGAAAAGAAAATCCATCAATCAATAAGTCCTTAATTTAATAAAAAGGAGACAAGCTGTCAGCTGGGTCCAAAAAATTAAAATTTTTTAGTTTGTTGACTCTCCAAACACTTTTTTTTGTGTGTGAATCCTATCCAAATTTACATTTAAATGAAATTGTTGGTTTAACAATAAAACACTGGCATACATTAAGAGCAAAGTTCAATTTTAGAGTAAAAGGTTGAACTGTGTTCTCAGAACAAGAGTTTTTTTTTCTTCATAAATGTCACATTGTGGCAAGTGTTATGCCGTAAATATAAATATGTTACATATATTTTTATATGTATTGTAAATATGTGATTCAAGATGAGTTGCAATAGGATAAAAGGCTGACATGTTCAGAATTGTAGAATTCTGTATGAAGTTCAAAAGACAAAATACAGTAGAATAGATTCAATAATGTCTAAAGCTTAATGATTACAATACAAAATAACAACAAGCGAATAACAATAATAGTTGTGGTGGTAGTTGCAGTGATAATAGTAGTAGCTATAATACAGGCCAGATCATTGGCCAAAACTGGATCTCAGCAAAACTATGTGCTCCTTAGATGACCCACAATTCTTTCTCTTATGATTATGTTAGTAATTAAAAAATAATAATAATCTGCTCATCATCATGTTGTTCTAAACTTGTATGACTTTGTTACTTCTGTGGAACACACAAGAACTATATATTTTGAAGAATAATGGTAACCAAACAGTTTTGGTGATGGTTGACTCACCAAACAGACTTTTCTCAAAATATCTTAATTTATGTTCCACAGAAGAAAGAAAGTCACACAGGTTTAGAAGAAAATGACGGTGAGAAAGTGAATTACTGAAGCAACTACAGGCATGGTGTTTATGCATTAACCTGTAACAAGTCTAAACATTAACACTGATCAACTTTATTTCCTAAGGATCTAAAACTATTTTTTTTAATTGAATTAGATTTTTAAATCTAAATTTAGAATGAACATATCATGCAGTCACATTCAGACAAATCCAAATTGTACATTTCTCAGATTCCCCTCTCTCTCTTTGTCAGCATTAGACTGGTAAACTGAAGGCATTATGAAAGCTTCTGTTGGAGTGTGTGTGGTGTTTGTTCTGGCTCTGGTGGGGCTTGGTATGTATTGCCAATGACCCTGTTTTCACCATGCATAAGATGTGTTTTTGTCTTATTTTGCATTACTATTCTTGCAAAAACGTTATCTCTGTCTCTGTGTCTTTCAAGGCTCTGCCATTAAATGTTACAGTTGTAGAGACTACACGGGCACATGCTCTAAAATTCGAGACTGCTACTATGATGATGCCTGCGTGACCATCTACGAGAGAGGTGACAGCTCACTCACTCTTAGATAATAGCGTCTTTCTGTATTCTAACAAACTGTCAAAATGGCCCAACCATTTCCATGACCCTTTGACTTTGCATGACATATCTCTCCGCTCTCCTTTTTTTTTCTAGGTGGTGACACATACAGGCAGTGTATAAAGTACTCCGAGTGTGAGCATAGCACACTCGCCCAGAAGTATCCCAAAATTTCCAGCTTCAAGTTCTCCTGCTGTGCCACTGACCTGTGTAACACAGCACCTGTGTCTGTGTCCAGCCGCTCTGTGGTGGGAATACTGCTCTCACTAGCACTCTTCTGGTGGGGTGTTCTCTAAAACGGCACAAACACATGCGCTTCTGCATTGTTCCTCGTAAAGCTGGTATTGGTATCATGCAGTGAGAATGCAGAGATCTTCTATATCTTGAGTTAATTGGTCAAAGAAGCATTCACAGCTTAAATCTCAGCTGTATGTTAAACCTGTGTGTGCTCACTGCTTAAGCTTTTAAGCTAAAGCTTGTATTTTTTAGTTTTGCACTTAATAGTGAAAGGGAAACATCTGATAATAGTGTATTGAATTCAGTGTTGCTTTGTGTATGTGTACTCTTTCACGGCTAATCCTGTTACCCAGAAAAGTACAACTGAGTGGGTTGCGAGGGTTCTGATGCTGACGTGTTCAAAGGGTTAATGTGTTATATCATAGTCATTTTCATAAAAACCCTTTATGCCTGCTTTTCCTCTGCCTTGTTTATGAATGTCTCTTTTAAAACTTAAAATCTCTTGAAAAACATTGTGTGCAATATGTAGACATGTAGTCTATTCAGTGTACTGATTAGCTTCTTGTTACCACTATAGCCAGCGAAACTTACTGAACCTTTATGTGACCAATAAAAGGAACGTGCAGTTTTATGCAAATCGAGAGTTTGAGAATTCTGTTAAATATTTACAGTGCATCTGTATCATCGGTATCATGCATCTCATTGCTTCTAATCAACCTGCAGTGCTTTAAAGAATAAAAATTATATATCGGTAACCTTTATATAGCAGTTTATTAGCAAGTATCACTGTAACACCCCATTATTTATAATAATTATTTATGTGCTTTGTTCCAGGATTTTTT